AGATTTTCAATGGTTGTATAGTTTTGATTGATTCGTGAATTCTACCATTCAATTTCAATTTCAATGAAATACCTGAATTGATCAACTTCATAATTTATTCACTAGATTAATCTTTAAAATACTAAATGATTGGATACTAAAAAAAATAACAGAATCATTGAACGATTGATTAATTATAGACATTCTGATATGCCAATAAAAGACTGATCGATTGCAGTCCTAAACATCAATGGGAAGATTCAAGTAAAACAATATCAAGTGAATTTAAACTTCATTGCATTAGAAACACAAGTGGCTATCAAGACTCAGTAGCTAAGTGTAGAACGCGATGGCGTTTAAAACAAACGGTACTGGGTTCAAGTCTCAAAGTGAACATGAACTCTTAGATGCAGGTGCACCCACTTAATGAGTCACAAATAGAACGAAACACGCATCAAACTGGATTTCACACCTAGCCACTATACATCTTTGTTTATAAACCTTGTAACATAAGGCAGTATCGAGGCATTCCACACAGGATACACATATACCGTGTAGAAACTAATCAATGGTAAGATATAAGTAAAACAACACTAAGTTGAATATAACTTCACCCCATTACACAAACAAGTGTCTACTAGGATTCAATAAGCAAATAGATAACGTGATAAAGTTTGAAGCGTATGTTACTAAGTTCAAGTCTGAAAATGAACTTAAACTCTAAAATACAAGTATATTCATCTGATAAGTCACATATAATATGAAACACTCATTAAATCATAATCAACTATTATTTACTATTCATCATTTCTTAAAATTAAAGATCATTATTGTTATATATTAGGACCGCCGAGTAGAAGGCAGTGAATTATCGGTCGGACCAAGAACGCGTAAAACATGTACAAGCGGCCTAGAGTTCTGATTGGTTCTGCTATCCGTCTAGCCCATCCAGTTAAGTCCCGAACGCTAATCTCAGCCTCTGTAATATGTATCGTTATATTTCAAGCATACTAAGTTTATATATACCAACCAGACAGATCACATCGTACCATAATATAGAAAATAACATTTGTATAAAATTTGGCTAAAAATGGCTGTGAATGTGGGAGTCAATGACAAATAGACAGGGCATAACTCAAGAATGGTAAATCGTATAATAACAGTTCATAGATCAAACTAAAGCTTATAGTAAGCGGGACATGAATATGAATAGTTTAGTTATTTAACAATTATGTAATAAAAATATATACGCATAGTATTGGTCCATAAATAAATCCCAATAGTTACCATTCATTATTCTTGTCGGAACAATAACAATTATATTTATATAGAAACTATTCTCATCTAATATGTAATATTCACTATAAGTTATTAAATAGTTACTATCTAACAAAAACTAAAATCAAAAGTACATTTTGTCTTTTATTAGTTCCGTCTATTTAACTTTATTTATTTAACTTTTTTTTATTATTCCGTCATAAATTTATATTCTATACTTATCGGTATGATAAAACTTAATTTATGATATTTAACTTTATTTAAAAAAAAAAGAAGAAAAAGAAAAAGAAGAAAGAAGAAAGAAAGAAACAACGACAACGACAACAACAACAACAACAAAATCTCTAATCAATTTAATTAGTTCCACTTTTGATGATAAATTCTTTTAAAGATTCAATTGCCGAAAAACTATCATATTCCGTTCTGTTTTTCTTTCTTTTTTTTTTGTTTTATAAAGAGAGAATAAGCGAGAGAGAGAGAGAGAGAGCGCGCGCGCGCGAAAGAAAAAAAAGGTGTGTTTTAGTTTGTTATATCTATATATTTCTTTGTTTTTTTTTCTTTTTTTTCTTTTCGTTTTTATCTCTCAAAGAATTATTAATTATTAATGGAGTTTTATTGTTTGTTTTATTATTATTATTATTATTGTTTGTTGTTGTTATTTTACACATATACTTATGCTTATTTGTTCAGAATTTTTTTAGTTTTTATCCTTTAATTTTTTTATTTTTTTATTTTGTTTTTTGTTTTTTTTTGTTGTTACTGCTGAAATAATTTTTCACTCAATAATTGTAATGATTAGTAATTATATTTTAAAAATTAAAAGATTCATTTATTTCTCTTTATTATTTTTACCTCCCCCCACCCCCCACCAAAAAAAAAAATAAAAATAAAACAAAAAAAAATGAGAGAAGGATGTTAAAAATTTAATTATAGGGATTATGTTTCATTGCTTTCATTATTTATTATTATTATGGGTGTTGTGATGGTTTTATGTTATTTATTATATTTAATAATGATTATTATTTTAGAAAAATATTATCACCAAAAGAAAAAAAAAGAAAAAAATTCTAAGTAATGATAGATAGTGATTGATAATGGAATCTAGTTTGATGAATGTTTCGTCCTGTTTTGAGACTCGTCAGATAGATGAACCTGTATCTTAGAGTTTAGGTTCCGTTTTAAGGACTCGAACTAAGTAACGTTCGCTTCAAATGTCAGCGCGTTCTCCAATTAGATACTGAGTTTTGATAGACACTTGCTTGTGTATTGAGTTGAAGTTTAAATTCAATTGATATTGTTTTACTTGTATCTTCCGATTGTTATTTATAACTGTAATTGATTAGTTTCATATTGGTATACGCGCCCGGAGTGAACATCAACTCTGGTATGCAGGTATATGCAGCTGACCAATACCAAATAGGACGAAACTTGTGTCACACTAGATTCCATTACTAACCACTATCCATCCACCTTTGCTTAGAATGCTTGTGATTGAAAGCTATGTTGAAGCAATACGCATAGGATGCATATATACCAACATGAAACTGATCAATTGCAATCCTAAATAACATTGGCAAGATACAAATGAAACAAAGATTGCATATAAGACGATAGTACAGGAAGAAAGAATTAGTTGGTAGAAAGAAAGATATGAAGTGATTTTAATCTCTCAGTTTAATGAAAGACAGAGAGTGTATACACTTACGCCATTGTGATCGATTCTGAAACATGTCACACAGAGTCTTCAACCATTGGTTATGATAGTCACTAGCTGACCCCAACCAAGTAGTCTGCATCTACCAACATGGCTCAGACCAGAAGTTAGTGAATTCAAGCACTGATGCCACATATTGGTTTGGCCGCCCCTATCTTTCTTCCAACCGTCTCCAACACTAGTCAGCATTGCGCGTCATGGTATTCGGTGTTCAGTCATACGCAACACGAGGCCCAACCATCTCAATCGATGAAGATTCATAACCTCATCAACTGAATTACCATCATTCCTTAATAACCTACGTCTAACCTCACTATTACTGTGGAGGAGTCCTATACTAGAATGAAACAGCCGTCTAACGTTTCCAGGTGTTTCATGATGGTCTAGCTTTCATTGTTTAATGAATTGAACTATTAAAAATTACTATAATATTCACAAAACCCTATTCTAACATGATTATTATTAATATTGATATAATTATCAATCATTATTGAATGTCCACCGTGTAAGTTTAGATTATTTATTTGCTCACACCTGTTCACTCCAACGGAGCATAAGTCGACGACCAGCATTCTATAACACACAGGTTACTGAGCCTTACTTCCTACTTCTATCCATTTGTTGTTCATTCTTCTCGTTTCTGTCTCTAATATGTTCGTTGTTCTTCTTTTTTTCCTTCGGACTTGAGGATTCCATGTGAGGGCTTGCCTTGTGACGCACGCAATTCGGTGCTTTCCTCAATGTGTGTCCTATCCACTCCAGCGCTTCTTCCTGATATCTCCCTCCACTGGGATCTGGTTTGTTCTCTCCCATAGTAGATTGTTGCTGATTGTGTCTGGACAACGGATCCGAAGTATTTTGCGTAGACAACTGTTCACAAACACTTAAATCTTCTGGATGATGGCTTACATAGTTCTCCACGTTTCTACCCCATACAGTAGAACTGTTTTGATACTTGTATTGAAAATTCTGACTTTGGTGTTGGTTGACAGATAGTTGTTTCGAGTCCCAGATATTCTTCAGTTGTAGATATACTCCTCTTGAATTGCCGATCTGTGCCTTCACATCTGCAACAGATCCATCATGTTCATCAATGATATTGCTCAGATATGTAAATGTTTTTGCATCTTCTAAAGCTTATCCGTCAAGTGTGATTCAATTGCTGCATATTTTGTTGTATCAGAGAATTTTGCTTCTCTCTTTGTGTATGTTGAGACCTACTGCTAATGAGGCTGCTGTTACACAGATTATCTTCTTCTGCATTTGTTGTTGCGTGTGTGATAGAAGAGCCAGATGGTACACGCAAGTTTAGATACGAATCGCTAATTAAGTTTCAAATATTCTTCATAATATGTACATAACAACAACAATCATTGATTCCCAAAATAATTGATTAATTTAATGATCATTATAAGTTATGATTTTGTAAACATGTAAGTTTGAAAAAAAACATTTCACCCATAGCATAATAAACAATCAATAAATCTAAGGTATTTCTACAAAACAAAACAGAAAATTTCTGTCAAAGGAAAATTTCTAGACCTGTGAAAATGAAAGCGTTATGTACAATCAAAAGTCTTCGTTTATATATATGTATGTATACAATTTCGTGAACTGATTAAGATTAGACATTAGCACCGTTGGATGCCGGTCGGTTCAATGGTCTATGGGTTAAGCGTTCACGCACGAGACTGAAGGTTCTGGGTTCGAATCCCGCTGGGGAGATAGTAGATGCTTACTACTGAGGAGTCCCACAATAGGACGATACGGTTGTCCATTGCTTCCTGGTTTTAAATTGGTTCACGATCTCAATAAAAACAACCTTATAATCTCCACAATCCTGTACTGATATATATACATTGGTGATAGTCATGGTGCGTAGGAACATGATTTCTTCCTTGGAGACATATTATAGTTTCCAGTAATAAAGTTTATAAAAGATTTATGAAATGATTTTTTCAGTATAACGTAGACAAAAGAAACGATATGCATAATGTATTATGTAATAGTATAAATATAATTTACATACCAGAAGTAGTCGTCATTTCAGTTGTTGTTGGAAGAGGTGTTGTAGTAGGTGGTGGTGAAGTAGTTGCTGGTTTAACTATAAATATAATGAAAAAGAATAAGAATAAATTATTCGATGAAATCGATTAGGTTTTATGAAAACTAGCATAATAGACTCAATTGTTAATTATCTATGACCTATAGAAAAGTTCTAAACACAAAATAGATCTAGATGGTTGTTGGAGGTTGTCGATAGGAAACCCTGAACCGACGTTTCGTGCTATTTGGCACTCGTCAGAAAGGTTTACCTGTAATCATGAGGGAACTGGTACTCCCTGATGGATTCGATCCCATGTCACCCAGCTTAACAGTCAGAGACGTTACCACTGAACTATCCAGGCCGCGACCCACCTCCTGTAGGACTGAGATGTAATCACAATTGATTGATCACTGGGTGGTGATCAATGTCATGTGTGTCTAGTTCTTATTATTAGTGCAGATCGAATGCTATCGACCAAGTTGCAATGTGGCCACCAGTCTAGGTGACTCGACACTGTGATTGCGACCCGGATAGCTCAGTGGTAACGTCTCTGACCGTGAAGCTGGGTGACACGGGATCGGACCCACCAGGGAGCACCAGTTCCCTCAAAGATTACAGGTACACCTTGCAGACGAGTGCCAAGTAGCACGAAATTCGAGTTCAGGCTTTCCTGTCGATTACCTTTAACCACCATCTAATCTCAACATAGTGCACGCAATGTCGATTCACCTAGACTAGTGTCCACACTACAACATGATCGATAGCATTCGATCTGCACTAATAATAAGGACTAGACACGCATGACATTGATCATCACCCAGTGATCAATTAATTGTGACAAAATAGATCTGTTAACTAAATCAATTGTCATGTTACATGATTAAATTACATGTATACATGAATGATTATGAATATTCTCATAAGTTTGATGTTTTTTACAATTCATCATCTTCGTCGGGAGATTGAAGCAGACTGTAATCACAGATGTACATCAGTTTTAGAATAGGAGAAATACATAGAAGCTGTTTCGCTGTAGAACAGAATATATCAAAAGTATGCACATCAATAACCTAGTCGGAGTTCTAACCCAACGACGTTCATGTCTGAGTAGACACAGTGCAATATATCATCGGAAAGTGACCTCCTTTCTTCTAACACAATATGTTAATAAACTCAATTGATTTTTATAGTTGAATTGATTAGATATGCTATGTACTATGTTTATATAACAGTTTATGAAATATTGATTTTTAATGAAGTTGGGTTTTTATCACAGTTCTATCATTACATTATCAATGATTTTCAGATCGTATATAATTGTAGATTCACGTTTAATTGGAAAGATACAGATAGGCGACTTGAAAATATAATTAAACAAAGGATAAATGCACTTAGTCAGTCTCTTGTTGGTATATGTGCATCCTATGCGAACTGCCTCGATATAGTCTTAAGTCACAAACATTTTAAGCTGACGAGTCTCAAATAGGACGAAACATACGTTTTAGATTCCACTGCTAGTCAATATCTATCTTTGCTTAAACAAAGGGTATTTTGTCATTCACTCGTGATATGATACACTTAAGAAAAAATAACAATGATTAACAGATATTACCTTAATGTTGAATGTCAAACATGACTGCTTATATCTAATGATTACGATGGTTGTTCAATTATTGAGAAATTTGTGCATAACATTTAATTATTTGAGCTTAGTGAGTTGCGCGATCATTTTCCATTGTCTTAGATAGATACCTATCTCTACCTGATATGGATTACCTCGACTAATTACGGCTTCTTATTAGAACTCCGAGAATCCCATGAACAGGATCGTAGATGCGCATTGCTAAAAAGTCTCATACTAGAACGAAACGGAGATTCAATGTTTCCAGGTTCTTAATGGTACTCTAAAATCAATCATTTTATAATCTCAATCAAAAACTTAACTATCTCCACAACCAAGTACTGATAAAAGAATAATTGTTGTTGTATAGACTTCTCCAACGAATATTAGGTTTCCTTTGAAGATATCTTCGAGTCCCGAAGTGAACATCAACAAGTCTGAGTTGCAGGTACATCCAACTGACGAGTCCTAAATAGGACGAAACGCACGTCAAACTGGATTCCACTGCTAGCCACTATACATCGTTGCTTATCTTCAGTAAATTTTCAAGAGGGCAACAAATACATATGCCCCACACAAAATTTTATTTGTGTATGGGCTGTGATACTGCCCGGGTGCCCAGATCAAAGCAGATGATTTTCTTAGGGGTCCACAACCGGAGCCTTCAACATAAAGGTCTGATTCACAAGGCAGTGAGGCATCGTAAGGAGACCAACGATTGGTTCATACACCATTTGTTCCCGCAGGATACTGGAGCCCATATGTACCATTGGTTTTGGATCCGGTTAAAGCGCCGGACATTCACTTTTCGTCCTCTCATTTTCATAAACAACACCCGCGTCACAAGAAGGCAGTGAGTAGGACTTCCCTGACAGAGGCTGTATACGCGTGGCCATGTGAGAGCGTTTCGAGAGGGAGGTTGGGCCCACCCCATTCTCGGCCGTACCAGGGCATTTGGGGGCGATTAGAATAATATGAATACATTAGTATTGGTATTTATACAACCTATTCATTACAAATGTTCATGAACTGTGGTATAAATTTCAAAGAATGAACCTGTTAAAAATGATAAGTTTCAAAGCTGAATGTGACAAATTTTTGAAAGAACAGTACTGGATTCGAATTCCTAAGTGAACATCAAATCTCAAGTCCAATTAAATTCATTTGACGAATCTTAACTATAACAAAACATGTGTTCTTGATTCCACTGTTAGTTATCATCCATCTTTGTTTGTGAATTCACTCAATATCAAAGCAATCCTCACAGTATACACATAAATGCAAAGATCTGATCAAACAATACCAAGTAAATTTGAACTATGCTATACTTCATTATATCTGAATTATATATAGATAGATAGATGTGTGTGTGTGTGTCATTCACAACTTATTAATCATACCATTACTTACCAATCACTTGTACTGATTTACGTATATGACCATTTAAATTCTCTGCTAAACATGTATAATTAGCATTGTCAGTTGTATGTACATTACTCAATTGAAGTTTTGATAGGTATCTGACGGTTTGTATGTTTGTTTTGTTTGTTTTTTTTGTATTTTTAAAAAAAAAAAGAAAAAAAGCAAAAAAAAATTTAAAATAAATATAATGGTAAAATAGTTAAAATAGATAATATCTTTTATGAAAATTATATAAATGAAACAGTTTACATGTATATACACCTACCCACACCCACATCCACATCCACACCCACACCCACACTCACACACACACACTAAGCGAGAGAGAGAGAGAGGGAGAGGGATATATACAAAAAGAAAATGATGTTAAAGATAGAAGAAACGCAAAAAGAAAAAAGAAAAGCGAAGAAAATTACAAATGAAACGTCAGAATTTCAACAACAACAACAACAAATGGACCCATATAACAGACATACTTAAATTTTATAGAATAAGCGAATATGCCTATTAACAATATAGGCATATATACATATACATATGTACTGGGAATACCTTCTATTGTTATAAGCCTATAATACTAAGAGATAAAAGCTTACCATCCAGGGTACAGTCATAATCAGTATATACATGAAATAAAAAAAAACTATACAATTTAACTAAAACAAAACAAAATATGTACGCAATATGGAAGTATACAATATATATAGGACAAAAGCTTATCCATAAGTAGTAAAGGATAATAATAATAATAATAATAATAATAGACAGGTGCTTTGATAATTACTAAGCCAAATGTTTTCATTGATTATAGAAAGAAAGTTTTTCTTTTAAAGTATTACATTTAATGAAATGATCAAAACAGATTACCAGTTTAAGGATGATGATGATGATGATGATGATGATGATGATGATGATGATGATGATGATGATGATGATGATGATGATGATGATGATGATGATGATGATGATGATGATGATGATGATGATGATGATGATGATGATGATGATGATGATGATGATGATGATGATGATGATGATGATGATGATGATGATGATGATGAAATAGATTGTTTTATTATTGGAAAGACGAGGATGGGGGATCAGTCAGCCAGTCAGTCAGTAACAACGTAGAACTTCGTACGTAAGTACATGAGTTCGAGTGGTCATACCATATTAGCACAGAGATACAGTTGTTGATTCATATCCCATAGTGGTAAAAGTAGTAAGAATATAAGCAGTCATTGGAAAGATTAAGGTTTGAAGATGTTATTCAAAGAGTATAATTCAATGAAATAAATTTGAAATAAGAAAAAATTAAAGGGAAATGAAGAATTTAGAAGATTAGAAAGAGAGGCGGAATTTCTGAAGATTGTGGTAATTGTTAGCAGTTGAATTGATGAGTTGATTAAGTCTAGGCAATCATGGAAAACTTGAAAGGATTGGATGATCGTTTTGTCCTAGTATGAAACTCCTCCAATTTCTGATAATAATCATCATTTGCTTACTAGTAACTGTCTTAAAGAGGTATCTCTTGGAGTTCTAGTGAGAAGACGTTACTAGTGGAGTTCAAACAGGTCTGTTGTAGGGTAGTGATTTATTGAAGACAATGGTTGACGGTAGCGAAATTTTGTGGATTACTTGGGGTTGAACATTAACATGATGGCTTTGTCGTCTAGAGATCAAGAGCTCTCGCGTGAAACCAAAGATCCTAGGTTCGAATCCTGTGAGCGAGATCGTAGATGCACACTTCTTATTGATCCCATACTAGTAAGAAACGGCCGTCCAGTGCTTCTAAGTTTTCCATGATGGTCTAACTTCAATTGACTCATGATTTCAACCAGTGAAATTTTTAAAATCTCCACAAAACCCCTTCTGATATAGATGGATAATGTCTAGTAGTGGAATCTAGTTTGACGCTTGTTTCGTCTTATTTGAGACTCGTCAACTGGATATATCTGCATCATCAAGTTATTTCAACAAGTTATCTATTTTCTTGTTTGTTTTAACACATCATTATGTCAATTCATTGTATAACCTATTCAGGTGAGTTTATGAAATAGAATCCCATTCATTCACTTCTAGTTGTTATATAAATATATATATATATATATATATATATATATATATATATATATATATATATATAGTCTTGATTGAAAACTTCCTACCTACCTTTTCTTTCAATTCATTCCAGATTTGAAACGTGTACATAATTGAAAATCTTGAAGTTACATTCAAGGTTACGGTTGGATGATGGTAACTTTTGAATTCCTGACAAACTATTTATTCATGAGATATACATCTTGTTTGTTTGTTTTTTTTTGAAGAAGAGGAAGAAGAAGCTAATTATTTAAAGCCTACGCTTAATCATTCATTTTATTCTAGTTTTTATTAGAATAGTATAGAACAATCCATATTGATAATCATACTAATCAGAATTAGTAATATAGTATACTGATATTATTAAAGTAGTATAGCTGAATGAAATATTTTATTTAAATTACCATTACTATTATAGATTGAAACTCAAAACAACTGTTTGTCAACCAACACTAAGGACAGAATTTCCAGTACAAATGTCAAAACAGTTCTACTATATGAGGCGGAAACGTGGGGAACTATGAAAGCCATCATCCAGAAGATACAGGTGTTTATTAACAGGTGTCTACGCGAAATACTTCTGATCCATTGACCAGACACTATCAACAACAACCTACTATGGAAGAGAACAAACCAGATCCTAGCGAAGGAAGAAATGAGAAAGAAACGTTAGTAAATGGATAGGACACACGTTGAGGAAAGCATGTGATTGCGTCACAAGACAAGTCCCTACACGGAATCCTCAAGACCAAAAGAAAAGAGGAAAATTAAAGAACACATTACGTCGAGAAATGGAGACAGACATGAAAAAAATGAACAATGATTGGATAGAATCAAAAAGGAAGGCCCAGGACAGTGTTGGTTGGAAAACGCTGGTCGGCGGCCTATGCTCCATTGGGAGTAACATGAGTAAGTAAATAAGTAAGTAAGTAACTATTATAAATCTTTAGTTAGATCCCATCTTTAAAATGTTAATCATTCATCATAATATCTAACTACATCAGGTAATAATTTGTTGAATGTACAGTTATTCCGATAGTAGATAACTAAAGTAGTTCTGATTCAGTAAAAAATTTTAATATCTTAATTAACAGCTGGTAAATATAAATTTTCAGATTAAAAGATTTTATCAGTTTACGGGTTGTGGAGATTGTCAATTTTTTGATTGAGATCATGAACCGATTGATGTTAGACCACCAATAAAAACCTGAAAGCATTGAATGGACATTTGATCCTCTTATGGGACTCTTCAGCAGTGCGCATTCATGATCCCGTCCGCGAGATTCGAACACAGAGTCTTCCGTCTCGCGCGCGAACGCCTAACTTACTGGACCACTGAGCTATACGGCATACAACGGTGTTAATGTCTAACCGCAACCAATCCACGAAGTCGTGACCAGTGGAGCTAATCAATGTCGGGTAGAGACAGGTATCTACATCAGTTTAATGGAATATGGTCGCGCAATTCCGTGGATTGGTTGATGTTAGACACTAACACCATTGGATACCGGCCGCCTCAGTGGTTCAGTAAGTTAGGCGTTCACGCGCGAGACTGAAAACCCTGGGTTGGAATCCCACGAGCAGGATCGTGGATGCTCACTTCTGAGGAGTCCCACAATAAGACAAAACGGCCGTCTAGTGCTTCCAGATCTCCAACCGTGGTCTAACATCAATCAGTTCATAAACTATCTTAATTCATTAATGAATGAATTATTATTCTATTCTCAAGTCTGCCTCGATTTCTCGACTTAATGTGTTCTTTAATTTTCCGCTTTTCATTTGACCTTGAGGATTCTATGTGAGGACTTGTCTTGTGACACAATTGGGTGCTTTCTTCAATGTGTGTTCTATCTACCTTCAGCGCTTCTTTCTTGATATCTCCCTCCACTGGGATCTGGTTTGTTCTCTCCCATAGTAGATTGTTGCTGATAATGTCTGGACAACGGATCAGAAGTATTTTGCGTAGACAACTGTTCACAAACACTTATATCTTCTGGATGATGGCTTACGTAGTTCTCCACGTTTCTACCCCATACAGTAGAACTGTTTTGATACTTGTATTGAAAATTCTGACTTTGGTGTTTGTTGACAGATAGTTGTTTTGAGTTTCAGATATTCTTGGATCGTAGATATAGTGCTCTTGAATTGCCGATCTGTGCCTTCACATTTGCATCAGATCCATCGTGTCCATCAATTCTACTGCCCAAATATGATATATACATATATAAGTAAATAGATAGATGTATATACATTCCACAAATAATTACCTCTTTATATATTTCCATTCATTTCTTTCAATACAAATCATATTTCAACTATAATCAACATCAACATTTATTATACACAATAAATTTCTTTTCAGATTTTCATTCTTCAATATAATTATCAATGTAATAAACAATATCTATTATATGGTATATACTGATTAGGATTTGTTGAAAGGTTAGGAAAGCATATCAACACTACTACTACTTATTATTATTATTATTATTATTATTATTATTATTATTATTATTATTATTATTAGTAGTAGTAGTAGTAGTAGTAGTAGTAGTAGTAGTAGTAGTAGTACTAGTACTAGTAGTAATATCATTTCCTTGATTCATCCGTCTTACAGTTTGTACTACATTTACAATGAAATATTCTTTGATACTGATGTAAACTATAGAAAAAAAATTGTTCATCAAAAGAATGAATGTACTGTAATATGTTTATATATGGAAAAACCCATTACCTGTGTGTATGTGCGTGTGTGTATGTGCGTGTGTATGTGTGCATGTCAGAGTACATATTGAAATGATAGTATAATATTCAATTGAATTAAAACTATTTTTTACCAATGTCAAATTTTGATATAAACTATAAAAATAAACTAATATTATTCTATACATCTATCATTAGTAGTATTATGTTGTTGTTGTTGTTGTTGTTGTTGTTGTTGTTGTGGATGATGATGATGATTATTTTAAAAAGAAAGAAAGAAAAAGAAAAAGAAAAAAAAGAACGAAACAATGTGTATCTAACTTAGAAAGGTCAATCTGTCGAATTTGGTTTACTTGTTCGATTTAATAATAAATTAATTTATAAAAAAATGAGAGGGGGGGTGAGAGAGGGTAAACATATATATATATATAGTGAATGACCATTAACGGAATAACTGTAATTATAACAAGATATATATATATATATATATATTTATATATAAGTAAATGTAAACAGTTATTTATGTAGGCCTATACATATTTATATATTCACGTATGTTTGAATATGTAATTCAGTAGGTTTGTATTTTCATATCTTGGATAAAAGGAGGTTAGTATTCGTTAGAATTCGGTACATTCATTCATTCATTATATAATTCTAATGAAACTTATCATACGGATTATATAAATATTAAGTTGATCCGTATTTTATGTAATTCATTGAATCATTATTCTTAGATACTAATAACTTGTATCTATTTAATAGTGAATATTATGTTTATGTTTATTTATTTCATTATCATTTCAATGGTTGAATTTGTGAGTTCACTGATGATAGATCATCATGGAAAACTTGAAAGAATTGAACAGTTGTGTTCATCCTAGTATATGCATTGATGATCTCACTTCATAAGATCCAAACCCAGGATTTATTGACCTGATACATGAACACTTAACCTTTAGACCATTGAACTAGTCAGTATTCCGTTTTATAGTTAATAGAAGATCAATTTTGATAAAAAATAACTTCACTTGTACTAGTTACTAATCAATATAATGAATATGAATTTTATTAAAATTTTAAATAACTATGATTGGAGTTAAAAGTTTCATCTAGACTGATATCATGATGAATAAACAAAACATGAATATCATTATAAAAGAATTAATACTTTTGTATTAAGTGAGAACGAACCATTGATCCATGTATTTTATGACCCTCTGAATGAGTTACACCAGTAATTTCATATTCAAATATGAAAACATGATTAGTAGGAAGATTGTAGTAAGGACAATCGAATATATTTGAAATGAAACTACAGAGTATCACAATAAAAACTGCTGAAATACATTCTACGCTTGACCATCATTATATACTAGTTATATGAATATAAGTAACCCACACCACAAAGATGAATAATATTCAATTGAATCAGTTCAACCAGGTCTGTTGTGAGATAGTAACTCACTGCAGACAATGGTGGATGTGTGGCTCAATTTTGTGGATTAGTTGAAGTTAGACACTAACACACTGTTGGATGGTAGCCGACTCAATGATCTAGAGGTTAAGAGTTCGCCCGCGAGACCGATATGTCCTGGGTTCGAGTCTTGCGAGGCAGAACCGTGGGTACACACTGTTAAACAGTTCCACAATAAGATAAACCAGCCTTTCAGTGCTTCTAGGTTTTTCATGGTGGTCTAGCATCAAATGACTCATGATCACAACAATTGATTTGACAGATTTGTTTGAAATAATCAAGTAACTGTAACAGTGTTTGTATAAAATAAAAACTAATTTTTTTTTTTTAATTATAATAAACATACCGTGATTTTTGAATTATTCCACGTCCTGTTTCTAATCTCCATGGATATTTGATTTCTGTTTGATTAATATACCATGAAATTAATGGTGTAGGTCGACCACGTACACGACATGATAATAATAAATCATTTCCTTCATTAACCTTTAATACATCTTCATGATACAATGAACGCATTTGAAGGGGATCAGCTATAAAATAAAAAAAAAAAAAAAAGAATATGGATTAATTCAATAGTAAGTAAGAGAATAACATAAATGATATAAATGTTAAAAGGATGCATGGATTACTGGTTCTTAAGTTCTAAGACACGGTTTCATTAAAATAACCTTAGGAATATCATACGTTCAGAAGTAAATATGAAATAGAATTATAAGCAAAGATGAATTGTGGCAAGTAGTGAAATCCAGGATGCATGTTTCATCCTATTTTGAACTTATCTGCTGGATAACACAGTGATGTTCAAAGCGAACAATACTGGGTTCGAGTTTTGAAATGAACATCAACTCTGAGATTCAAATAAATCCAACTGAAGAGTCCCAAATAGGATAAAACACATGCCAAACTGAATTCTACTACTAACCACAATCAATCTTTACTTATAATGATTGTGAATTAAGGCAAGATCGAGGTAATCCTCACAGGATGCACATAGTGCCAATTGCAGTCCTAAACATCAATATGAAGATAAAAGCAAAACAATACCAAGTGAATTCAATAGAATGTGTAAAACATGGAAAATTCTGAAAACATTTGATGACCAAATCATCCTAATATAAGACTCCTCCAAAATGTTCATCCATGATCCTGCTCATGGGATTCTCGAAGTTCTAGTGAAAAAATCTGTGACCAATGAATTAATCCATATCAGGTAGAGATAAGTATCTACTTCAAACAATGGTGGATGATGACGCAATTTCATAAATTGATTAAAATTATAACATTAACATTGTTCAATTGCCTAAAGGTTAAGCGTTCGGGTGGGGAAAAAAACAAGCTAAATAGATCACAATTGATTGATCACTGGGTGGTGACCAATGTCATGTTTGTCTAGTCCTTATTATTAGTGCAGATCGAATGCTATCGACCATATTGCAATGTGGCCACCAGTCTAGGTGACTCGACACTGCGGGCACTATTGTGAGATTAGATGGTGATTGGAGGTAGTCGACAGGAAACCCTGATCCATGAACAGGATCATTAATACGTATACTACAACAATTCAATCATCCAAATACTGTATTATTTATTTGATCCATTTTATAGACTATTTAAATTTAAGAAATTTTTTTTTCTAATATAAAATATGACGTCATTCTATATAGTCTGTTAATCAACAACAAAAAAAAATTATCTTTCTAGACATGAAAAATAAATGGGGTTTTTTTTAAAAAAAAAATTTAAAAAAAAAAACTTTTTTTTACAATGTAGTTGCTAACTAGAATCGATTAGATTATGAATTAATGGTAGCGTTCCCATAGCAACAACGAAAATGTGTTTGTCGTAAAGGCCAAACAAACAACCAAACAAACAAACGATGAAAGTAATCCATTTTTAAAAAAAAAAAGTTTGGCATGACATTATATAAGAAACATTATAAACCAATAATTCATTTAAAGCATTTCGTTACAATAAATCGACGATCAGTTAGATTACGTAATTCATTTGTTTTATAATTTTGTTTATGACGTCATCTCATTTAGTTTTTTTTTGTATTTTTATTTATCTTCAATAAGGAATTAAAACTTGATCATTTCAATGGGAATACAGTTGAATATTATGTAAAAGAATCCATGGATTTCGATCTTTTCTGTTCTTGTTTCTGTTCTTTTTCTCTCTAATTGATGAGATCATTATTATCAATCCAAAAGGTATCAATATGAGAATTTGTAGAGATTGTAGTATTCTCATAATTGAAGGAAAATATTCAAATTATTGAATACTAGTTAAATTGTATAGAGATTAAATGTTGATACACGAAACCGTAGGTTCTGGGTTTGTGATTTTGGATGAGTATTGTTAAGGAGTTCCATACTGATATGAGATGACTGTCCAAAATTATTGTTTAGGTTTTGATCGATTTGTGAATTCAACTGTGAAAATGGATGAGTTGAAAAACTCTTATTCCAAATCAATGATGCACATGAGCACCAGGATTGTGAAGGAACAAATAATGATGTGTGAACCTACTGTTGGTGATCGGTTCTCATTGGACTGCATCTCCTTACGTTATTCTACTGTCTTTTGGACTAAACCTTCAAATCGAAGTCACTGGGTGTGACCCTATAAGAAAACTATCTACTTCTGTTTGGGCACTTGACTACTATCACAGCTTACACACAAATCAAGTAACTTGTATGTTTCATATGTATTCAGTACCCCTCTATACTAATATTTAGGTGTTTAAATAAACAAATAAAAGTTACCGGGTTAATTGTCTAAGTTTTTTTTTTTCTTTATAACCGCAAAACATCATTCATATTAAAAAGGATCATAATTAGATGAATATGAATCACTTCAATATTTTTATTGTATAATATTCTTATTATCTAATCATGAACTACAGTTATAGTTAATTATTCAATTGCTTTCTACTTAGTTAAATATATATCTACATTCTTATCTAATAACAGTATATATATATCTGTATATCATTACAGATAAAGATGGTTATACTATTACTCATAATAACTGTTTATATACATACGTACATACATGGATAGATAGATAGGTAGTTAGGTAGGTGGGTAGTTAGGTGGGTAGTTAGGTAGGTGGGTAGTTAGGTAGGTGGGGAGGTAGGTGGGAAGTAGGTGGGGAGGTAGGTGGGGAGGTAGGTAGGTAGTAATACATAAGTATATATTCTTGACGAACCAGACAACGTTGAATACCGAATTTTAAGACAAACTGAAGAAAATCATCAACAGAAAAATATCACATTATTATGTAATATTAATTAATTCTATGAACCATAAAATTTCAATGGTAATAAAATATATATATATATATATTGTCTAACACTTATTACTAATCCAAGATGAAATAGAAAAGAGTCATGTATAATTGCATCAGTATTTTAGACTTCATTTTAATGTTATGTTTGTTTAAGTGAGCAGGAAGATTAGAAGAAGAAGAAGACTGTTTTCATCTTAGGTTAATATCAGTTTGAACTCCATCTGGAGCCCTTCTGGAGCTACAGCCGAATAAAGGAGGTGGGTTAAGCATAGGGTTAACGACCCTATCACATAGAAAATGAACTGGGTAAGAAAATGCCAACCAGAAAAGTAAATAAGTCACTAATACTAGTTTGATTAAGATTATAAACATTCATTAAATGATTGTGTGAATTAACTAATAGGTTGAAATTCAAATATAATCTTAATGAGTTTTTATTAGATTCTAAAGTGTTTTCCAGGGAATATCAGCTTTTTGATGAAATTCTGATTGAAATTACAAACAATTAAGTAAACATAAGCAAAGATAGATAGTGAGACTCGTCAGCTGGATGTACCTGCATCTCAGACTTGTTGATGTTCACTCTGGGACTTGAACCAAGTACTGTTCGCTTCGAGACACCATCACTTAGCTACTGAGTCCTGATAGCCACTTACTTATACAATAGGATGAAGTTGAAATTCACTTAGTATTGTTTGTTTGTATCTTTCCATCGAGTTAATCCGCACAGGATGAATATATGTCAATAAGAGACTGATCAATTACAATCCTAAATAACCGTGGGAAGATACAAGCAAACAACATCAAATGAATTTAATTAAGTAAACAATTCTAACAAAATTATCGATTTGAGCTATTAGATCAAGGAGTATGTATTAAAAATAAATTAGATTACAATTTGACCAGGATCATTGATCCATCTCATCTTTTTACAGATCATTTAAGTAATATCAGGTTCTATGATATTTAATGACATGAACAAGATTAAATAACCCTAAATAGTTCGAAATTGTAACGACTGGATTTCAATCCTAACTCCGCCTGGAGTCCCTTTCCGGGGGCTACTGCCGGTCCCAAGCCCGGATAAAGGAGGAGGGTTGGGCATGGGGTTAGCGACCCCATCCCGTAGAAAACTAACTCGCTAAAAAAACGCTAAGAATATCTGGAACTCAAAACAATTAGCAACCAACACCAAAGTCAGAATTTTCAATACAAATGTGAAGACAGTTCTACTGTATGGGGCCGAAACCTGGAAAACTACGAAATCCATCGTCCAAAAGATACAGGTGTTTATTAACAGTTGTCTACGCAAAATACTTCAGATCCGCTGGCCGGACACTATAAGCAACAACCTACTGTGGGAGAGAACAAATCAGATCCCAGTGGAGGAAGAAATCAGGAAGAAGCGCTGGAAGTGGATAGGACACACATTGAGGAAAGTACCGAACTGCGTCACAAGACAAGCCCTCATATGGAATCCTCAAGGTCGAAGGAGGATAGGAAGACCAAAGAATATATTACGCCGGGAAATGGAGATAGATATGAGAAAAATGAACAAGAATTGGATGGAACTAGAAAAGAAGGCCCAGGACAGAGTGGGTTGGAGAATGCTGGTCGGCGGCCTATGCTCCATTGGGAGTAACAGGTGTAAGTAAGTAAGGATTTCAATCCTGAAAATTCATTTTAATCATTAAATAATATGTTCGTTAATTGCTAATTCTGAATATAAATAAGTTTAATACCAAATAAACGAGTTTGCCATCTTTTGTAAACTATGACTAGAAACATATATTGTTTAAGTGTTCCATATTGTCAACTTACTGACAAAGATATATGTAAGACAATGTAAATACAGACCATTTTAAAACGAATTAAGTTTTTCAATAATTGAAATCATGAGTCAATTAAAGCTAGACCAGCATGGAAAACCTGGAAGCAATGGAGTTCTAGTGAGAAGTAGTAGTGACTAGTGGAGTTCAACCGGGTCATTTGTGAGATAATAACTCAATGATCACAATGGTGGATGTGTCGCTCAAGTTGGAGGATTAGTTGAAGTTAGACATTAACACTGTTGGATGCTGGTCGGCTCAGTGGTCTAGTTGGTTAAGCGCCTGGAGCGAGATTGATAGGTCCTGTGTTCGAATCCCGCGAGGCTGGGTCGTGGATGCGCACTGCCACTGAGGAGTCTCACAATAGGACGAAACGGTAGTCCGGTGCTTCCAGGTTTTCCATGCTGGCC